CACGGTGTTTTTGCAATTCTTTTTCTCATTTGCAGCGATGTTATAAATTGTAACACAACAGCAAAAGTTTCACTCAATTACTTTTTCTCAATTTTCGTGTCGCACACGTCATCCTCGTGTGGCGCCGTGCCGATAACCTTTTTATCCCCAACTCCAAAAATGAGCCCAAAGCACTCCAGCTCTTGTTTTGAGATAGACAGCTTGACACTTTCTTTCCCAACCCATCCACAAAGGCAGTTCCATTTTAACTCCCCATCGTTCAGTTGAATCACATAACTCCCACATCCATCAAAAGTCCTTCCAAACTCACTGTTCTTCACTTCAGTCTCTTTTAAGAGCCGGACAAGCATATCAGTGCTTATCACAAGCTTCCTCTTCTCCCCAATGAATTCTTTTAAAACACCAATCCCCTCACTACCCGCACGATACGAATCAAACTTCTCTCCTTTCTTCCTTTTGAAGATCTTAACACCGGCACTCAACACTTTTAAGTCCTTCATCACCTCACACCCAATTTTAGATACAAAAGAAATCTGTGCTCGGTCTTCCGCCATCACATAGAGTTGCTCTTTGGGGAATGTCTCTGTAAACCCATAATACTCTTTTAAGTGCGCAAAGATGGTTTCTCCATTCTCAGTCTCGAGAAGCTTTTTCATGACTTGTGGACCAATATTCCCCCCAAGTCTCATCATTTTTTTGGTCAGTTTCTCCTTGGTCTCGGCTTTCTTTTCTGGTTGTTCAAGTTGTTGATCTTTTTTAACATACTTTGGTTTCCTCTTTTTGAGTGGCGTTTCGCCCTTTTTAACAAAGACTGCGGTGTAAAATCCGCCTGTGTTCTGCAAGTGTGGTAAAATGCGAAGAGTATACTCCAAATGGAACTTTTTGGCTTCGTCTTCACTTGGTGGGAATGTCGATTTTGGTATTTTGGTGGAGGGTTCAGCAACTTCTTTCATTTCATTATCAAATGCTTTCCAAGTAGAAATGCCTTGTTTGTACTTGAGACCTGGAAGTGTGTTTCGTGCATCAATTAACTCAACCGCGTCACCATACGTGCGAAGGATTTCAGAGACGACCGCCTCGTCTTCAATTGGATTTAAACTGCATGTGGAATACACAAACTTCCCTCCAACTTTCAAGTGACATATCACATTCTTCATAATGTCAATTTGCTCGCGGTGTAAGCCATAACCACCCATCACATTCCATTTTGTACGCGAGTCTGCATTCTTTCGAATAGTTCCATCGCCACTACATGGTACATCACACAACATTCGATCAAATAAAAATCCGTCGAAGTTAAGTACCTGTGCTTTGTAGTTAGTGATTACAACATGCGGCATTGACAGTCTCATCGTTTGGTGAATCAACAATTTTGCTCTCTGTCTGTCTGCATCATTTGCAACGACACATCCATTCTTCCCAGTCATTTCAACAAGTTGTGATGTCTTTGATCCTGGCGCTGCGCAGATGTCCAAGACACTCATTCCTTCATGCACATCAAGAAGAAGTGCAGGTATCATCGACACTATTTCTTGTCTTGAGATCTCTCCAGCTTCATTCATCAACACCATGAACTTGTGTAATTTCTCATATTGAGCGCATTCTTTGACTTGTCTTCTTCTTACATTCACCTGATAAGTGTAAGGGTTCCACTGAAATGTCTGTGGTTTTAACTCGTCTGGGAGCGACTGAATAATTTCCTCAATGCATTTTTTAACAAGAGGAAATGACTCGGAAGTCTTTGTAAGTCTAAAAGAAGTTGGAAGTGGTGTTTTAATACTTTCGATAAACAAGTCTCTCTCGTTTGGTTCTACGATTCCTTGAGCAGTGTAGTAGTCCAAAAAGGATTGATTTATTAAGTCGTAGTTAACGTAGAGTGCGTCTTTCTTTGTAGTTTGAATTGGTTTTGCCATCAGGGTTAATCAATTTATTCAGATGAAAATGTTAAAAGTTCCATAAAAAATGGACTCAGACTTTTTCGATTAACAAAAAGATTCACAGATAAAGTTGTTTGATCACATTACATATCAAATATGTCCTCATTTGTCGTTTTTTCTTCTTGAAGTTGCTCCTCGAGTATTTTAAGGTTCTGCGAGTGCGAAGAAAAAAGAGACTCAAACTTGAGGACGTAGACTATGAATGAAGAAACCATTCCAATGAAAGCACCTCCTAAAATATCAGAGAAGTTGTGGTAATAGTCTCTTGTTCGTGAAATCGCGACAACACCAGCAACGATAAATGGACAAATCGACAACGCCACTATTTGTTATTTAATAATACAATTCAATATAAAAAACTAAAACACAACAAACATCTCCATACTTCATGTGATGTTGAAAAGACATGAAGTTGTCCAACAAGTAACAACGACAAGAAAGTGGCGCCATTGAATATCGTTGAAGAGTGCCCCGATGGGAATGATTGATAGACATCTATCGTGTCACTTGGTTTCTGTGCTAATCTGTCATAAAAATGAGGGCGGGGTCGACCCGCAAAAAGCTTGAAAGAGCTTACAACCGCTGCACAAAGTGAAATTGCAAACGCGAGTGCCAAAAATGAGAGCAAAAAGTATCGCCACGACGTTTTGAGGAAAGAAAATAACACCAATAATAGAAGAGGTGGGACGTATGCTACTAACGCACAGACGTAAAACGGAACTGACTCGTTTTTGAAAGGGTATTTCATATTAACGTTATCCTCTTCAGTTGGAATTAACATGTGATGTGGGTTTATAAACAGCATTACGACTGATATGACAACACACAGAAAAACCACAACTAGATCTACCATCACTTCATTAACTATTTTATTCTCGCACAGTTTCATTATCCGCCAAATAGTTTTGTAGTTTAATCAAAATACAATTCAATTTGTTCAAAATGTTATATATAACATTTTTGTTTTTTATTTTTATATGAAAATACTTAAATGTATTATAAATAATATTACACAAAACTATATTTTTATTTGTTTAAATATATTATTAAATACAATAATTAATATAATACAATAAATTAAATACTTTTAGTATTATATAATTTATGAATTATATCGTATATTTTTTACCATAAATATTACAATTTTAACTATATTTATAGTATGATTTATTGCTTTATACCTTCTTTCATAATTTAAACAAAATCAAGGTAATTATAACCATTTGAATAAAGTCAGTGGAAAAACGTTGTCCATTCTTTGTTATATTTTTAGAAATGGTGTATTATTTTCAATTTTTTAAAATCAAGTCATTTTCAATTTTTGTTTTCATTAAACTTAACATGTATTTATATCGCCCGATATATAACATGAAAAAAATAAACAAAAAATTGTTTTTAAAATATATAACCCAAAGTCACAAATAAAAAGTTATATTTTTGAAGACTTTTTTCCCTTTAAATGTCAGGAAAAAAACAATTCTTCTTGATATGTCATGAATAAATTTAAATGCATTCAACGAATTATATTGGTTCAATTTCAAGTTTTAATTTTATTTTTACAATAAATTCAAACAAATTAAACTTAAAATAAAAAATGCAAACACAACTTGGGTGCGTTTCTATTGTTGGACAACCATTAGGAATAGTTCATAACACATTGAATGAAATTTTACGTCCAATTGAACCATTTTCTGGGACTTTCGATGACTATGATGTATTATTAGAAGATATAGTATTATTTAAGTCGAAAATGGAAGCAAATGTGAACAGAGAAATATGTTGTTATAACAACATTTTGAATTTGGCTATTGGTGATTTAAATGGGGCTATTAGCGCGTTCAAAAACGAAAAAGAATGGATTGTAAAGATAATTACTACAATACAATTTACAGAACATTTAATAGAAAGGGTCAAACTAATTAATGAACACATCACTAATTGTTTAAATTTCCTCACAAGATTTGCTGTTCCAAGAGCTGGTTTTGAGCAGCTTAATAACTATTTGAGACAAACCAAGGTACCACTTCCTGGTGAAAACGAAGTGGATTTTCCAGAACAAACAAACAGACCACATTCGGAAGAAGTCCATGAAATATCCATGGCGAATAATGATGACGTCATTGACTTACTCTACTTAAACGACGATGAAAACGACTATTATAAAATGTCAGAAGAAAACAATGAAAATGCAGAAAAAAATATCAGAGTCTTCAGTATCCATGGAAGAAATTGAAACTGGTACAAATTTGGATCTTCAAATTGAAAAAGTTCTTTTAGATGACGAATTCGATTGTGATTATTTACACGACTATCTTCAATCAACAAAAACAAAAATGGACCACGTAGAGATCATTAACACGGTTTTAAGATTTTTGAATCTTAGAAGAAACAGGGAAGCTCCAAATAGGAGGATACAAATGTTTCGATTGTATGAATACTTGGTCAAAAAAATTCAAATTGACAGCTCCATTTTTATTGCAAGTTTAACAAAAAATATTTCAGCGGATATTTGGAGTCGACAAATAAACATGACGAAGAATGGGAAAAAATATCTGGAAGGCCAACCTTGTTTTCTCGATTTGAAAAGGATATAATTGTTGAATTTATCCATCGTCGTGATGAATCAAAAAATCCTGCAACATACAACGACACAGTATTGTTTTAATCAACGAGCTTGGTAGGGAAGATGTTGACGTGAAGATGCTGTACAATTTTGTCAGATCCGAAACTAGAATTCAAACTGCGATGGGTGTATCAATGGAATCACAGAGAGTAGATGTCGACTACAACAAAATAAACGCCTATTTTGATTTACTAGAAAAGGAAATTACTGGTGTATTGACAGCTTTTATTTTTAACTGCGACGAGTCTGGTTTTCAGGTTTGGGCTGACAAAAAAACCAAACTGTAATAATAACGAACCGTGGAGTGGATAAAGTTGAGGTTCCGGTCGAATGTACAGGTGGAAGGACTACAATGATGGGAACAGTGTGTATGGACGGTACACCATTGAAGCTGTTATTTTTGATTCCAACAAAATCCATCGAAAAGGAACTTCTTGAAAATGGCGTAACTATCAACAGAGCATATCTCCATTACACCAAGAAATCTTTCATGAACGGTTATTTATTTATGAGATGGTTACTTCTCGTGTTTATTCCATTAATCAAAACTAAGAGAGAGGTATACAAGTATTGGGGTAAAGCAGTTTTGATAATGGATGGTTATGGATCCCATTTAAAAAATGATGCTATTTTGTTGCTCAGTAAAAACAATGTGTGTGTCATGTTGATGCCTTCACATGTTTCACATCTTGTGCAAGTATTGGATGTGGGCTTGTTTGGAAACCAAAAAGACTCCGTGTCGCAGAGAAGTTATGAATGACACTTATTCGTCTTTGTCGGTATCTGCGGTACAAATTTTGTCAATAATAAATTCTTGGGAAAAAGCAACAACGACAAAAAAATATAATCTCAGCATTTGTCTCATGCGGATTAATTCCAAGGTTGTTAGACAACATCCAAATTGTTTGCGAAGTAGTAAAAAAAACTTGTACCAAAATTGATCACTTTTTTACCCAAGAAGAAATTGAAGAGTGTGTAAATATTCTACCAACGGGACTATCCGATACAATGAAAAGAAAAAAGGTGTTAAAAACACTTAGAAGCAAAGCAAGAAGTTATGACAATTCATTACTGAAATCAAAACATGGACTTGTTTTATACAAAAGAGAAAGAATACCATTGAGTGTATTGAACCAAACAACTATGTCAACCATATAATTTCACCAACAGATGTAATTATCAATTTAATTCTTATTAACGAGTTTTTTATTACATGAATTGTTAATTAAAATTGCTTTTTTGATGAAACATATTATTTTATTTGGTAAGTATATGTTATTTAGTTAAACTTGTTAATTTAAAAAAACTGTATTATATTATATATTGAAAAACTATTAAATAATTAAATGTATCATATTTTTCTATAAATGATAAAAATAAGGGTTTTAAACAAACTGTTTGAAATTTAATAATCAAATTTTCTTGTTAATTGTAAGTGTTTGTTTTTGTAATATAACCTCAAGTGACATTTAGAATGTTTGAATTTGGTTATAGGCTTCACTACAATGACAATTACATTGGCTACAAATAATGTTGTTTTTATAGATTGACACCATCAAAATGGTTGATTGAAGCAACACCTTTATACTCTTTACTCTCCGAATGACTTGGTCAAGCTTACTTGTATGATTACAAACCCTTTTATCCTTTTCATAGAGCCAATGCTTGTACTCGCCATTTAATTACACTCTTCTCGAGAGCGTCGTTTTAGCGAGGTCTTTGAAAATGATAAAAATGAAAATTTAATGGATTAAGAAAACTGTAAAATAAATGATGTTTGATTTTTAGTTGTTTTTAATTTTGAAAAAAATACAAAAGAAACAAAAGAAAAAAAAATATGAAAAAAAATTGATTTTTTGTAAATATTTTTGAATTATGTAAAATAATTGTATCTCATGTTAGAAGATTCTGGACCGGACAAGGTTTAACAAGCGGACAACGTTTTCCCACTGACTATATAATTATATTTTTTTGATTTAAAAATTTAATAATTTCAATGTGTTATTTACTTTTTGTTTTAGTACAAATTTAAAATAGTTGTCAATTTATTTAAAAGGTTGTTTATGTTATTTTGTATGACCTTTTAATAAATTTGGTGTATTGCAAAACAAAATATGATATACTTTCAGAAATTTGTCATAAAGAAATACAATAAACTTTTTTAAATTAAAATCAATAATTATTGATGTTATTGTTTATTATAAAAAAAAGACAAACGATTTGTCATTGGCATTATTTAAAAAAAATCAATTGTTTGAATGCCGATGTATTTTAAAATAGATGTATTTCTAACGGTATTTGACTAGTAATTTGGCAAATCTGTTTAATGCTAACCACATCCAAGTAAAAGAACATAAAGAAATACTTTTCAAACAATTATTTTTTATGTTTTAAATTTATCATTTTTTTGGAATGATTATTAATATTTTTAATAGATAGTTATTAGAAATAATTGTTTTATCGTTTATTTGTTATGGCAATGGCGTTGCATGTCTGCTTTTAAAGTAACAATAATAATTATTCTGATAACAAATATATAAAATATAATTTAAATCATAACCATTGATTCAACGAAGAGCCTAATTCTGTGACACTGTTTAAATTAATTGATATTGCCGTTTTGTCGATCATTTTTTCATTTTTTAACCATTTGTTTCGATCAAGTCACAGACTTCATATCGAATTCACCATTTTTTAAATAATTGCATGGTAACAATAAATTTAGTAACAATAACAAAATTCTTGGACAAAAATATAAACAATTTGGTAACATTATAAATATAGCGGAACTAATTGTCTTTGTAGTCTAATGGTTAAATTATACTATTAATATGGTTGATTTTTGTTAAATATCATTCCACTTCTATAAGAAAAAACAATAATTTTCATTTGCAGAATTAGGATTTTTGTTTTGAGAACAC